ACCGAACTCCTTATAACATTTACAGAGACCCAACAGTACCACCATGAGCAAGACCTTGGCAATGTCGGCAAGGAAAAACTATTAAATTCTTACAAACAACAAATCAATTAGGATACCAGTAGGACCAGTATGTAGGTCAGGCAGTATGTCAATAGGCCAGTAGTTGGAGTGGCAGCATTTTTCTCTGTGCTTCTAACAAACTGAACTGTGATCATGCTTCACTAGAACTTTACTTTACTTTGTTGGGATTCACATTGGATTTCTGACTTGAACAAAATCTGGAATCAGTATAAAAAGGGATGGGAAACACTTTTCATGCATTTTGATGTGTTTTGTCTTTGCATGATTAATGTTCAACTGTATGCTCAATCTAGGTTTCATTCCAGCCAAGGATGCAAATAAATGTCTACGTAAACTGACAATAGAATTGTTTCGTATTGTTTTGCAGTGCATTGTATCGTAGGTGATACAGTATATTGTCTCAATATCTATTATTGTAAGTGTCAATACCATATTAGTTATCCCTTTTAATATCACTTGTTGTTTAAGGTTTTCTGGGCAGTTATGGAAATCACTAAGTGGGACTGCTTTGTTGAAAATCTGAATGTTTAGATGTTTATATCATTGTACAAACATCAACAAGATGTGCTTTCATCTGCTGGGTATTTCAGCGAATGAAATACCCAGCAAAAACAAGAAATCATGTCTGGTTATTTTATTTACTTATAATTTCTCAATATATTTCCATAATAAAATATATCATAAAATGACATATACTGTGGTAAAGGACCATATGACCCACAGTAAATTTGAAATCTGTATCAGTGTCTGTGCCTGTATGTCTATTGTACTGAATGAATGACAAATGTGATCCATTCAACAGAAAGCAACATTTAACTGAACATGACTGATTTGTAAAGAAGACAGCACTGACAACTGGCTCACATGGATATATTTATATTAATATATCTATTAGATTTCCTCTTCCCGTATACATGTTGTACGGGACATGTACACAGAATACAGTGTCAAAATCACAGAATGCTTGCTCTTACAGGTTTCACAGTGTTGTCATGCAGTCATGGCAAAGTAGTAATGAGGTAGGCGTGAACTGAAACTCAATATTAACTGAAATGTTCCTTCAGTGACAGCTAAGTCTGTTCCAGTGTAAGGGTAGACTGTTGGACACACCAACATGCTATCATACATTCACAATATTCTTGTTTATAAGGATTATTATAAATATGTATATTTCACTGTATTTCATTTAATGTGCACTGCAGAAAGAAAGGAATTAGTTACACAGCCTTTGTGAACTGTTTCATACACAACTAACAATTATTTTGATTATTGATTAATCTGTTGATTTTCTCAGTTTACTGTCAGAGGACTGAAGAAACCAGAAAATATGAAATTTTAAGAAGCTGAAAAAAGAAATTTTGGACAAAAAAAAAAAAGACAATCAATTATCAAAATAGTTGGCAGTTAATTTAATAGTTGACAATTTATCGGCTAACGGTTGCTGTTCTGTTCCTACAGCAAGCAGAATCAGTGCATAACAGATTATTATCACCTGAATCTGCAGCTGCCCTTGGCTTTACAGGGCTTTAGAGTGAGATTAAGCTCATTGTTTAGCTGTCCAGCCACAACTTCACTCACACTGCTTTCAGAGCCTCGTTTTCGGTCACAGGGAGCAGCGATTCTCAGAGAAAAACTACCTGCTCAACAGCAAACCGAGGACAGACACAGTTGGAAACTACCTGCTGGACAACTTAAAAAGTGATATGTCAGTATTGTGTTCACTTGTTTCTGCTGCCCCCAAATGGCCAGTTATTGCAAAAGAATGATGGAAAATGTTTTACTTCATGCAGTTTTATCTTAAACCATTCAACCAGCAGGACTAACTACTCTCCTCACCTAACCCAGAGCCATACATAGACAGAGTTTGGACACTGCAGTCTTCAGAAGCAGCCATAACTGAGTTGGCAGATTATACAAAGCCCATTTCTGTCTGAGCTCACTTACCCTCTCTGATGTCTTTGGTTTGATGAGGATAGACATGTTGGAATAATTTTCTTACTGGCCTATCAGACCTCCCTTTAGGTACCTGCCTGTAAGAAAGCTTTTGGCCCATTTCTGTACTGTTTTGTGCTGTAAAGCAATAAAGCAATAAAGCGCTGCTCATGTCAGATCCTACCCACTGCCTGGTTCTAGCTGTGTCCCAATTCCATACTTTATACTAACTCTAAGCAGCTTTAGTGTGCAGGGTGTTTACAATAATTTAAATAACTCAAAGGTGTCAGTATGCTTACTAAATCTTGAGTTTTGAGTGTGCTATGGATTACCCTACAATGCATGCAGAAATGAATGAGCTGTTCACAACTGAAAAGTTAAAGATAAAGCAGTGAAACAGCTTCAGAACAACCCAGAAAACCAAACCAAGTGTAAAACCTCTCTAGCTTTGTTTGTAAAGGTTAATTGGCAGTGGCTTTCCAAAAATAGTGAATACTATGATTTAGGTATGATAGGTAAATTTGTTCTCTGCATTTGACCCACTAAGTGTTGGGGACGATGGGCAGCCACTGTGCAGCGCCCGGGGACCAACTCCTATTCTAAAGCCAGGTTCGCACACTGTGCGGTGCACTGCAGGGAGGTCGTAGATGACCAGGGGGAAAACATGGAGTAGAACTAAGTTTAATGAATATGATTTATGTAGAGGAAACAGCTGATGCTATTGTGCTGATCTTTACTTTATTAAAATTCTAAACCAGCTGATATATTCGCTCAAGTTAGCACTAATGTTACCCTTTTGAATTTCTTTCAGGGGTTTTCTAATATTTTGAGTCCTGTGTTTTTGGAGGACACTCTTGCCCCAAAATGAAACATAATGCTTTTCCCAGCTGTAAATTCTGACAAGAAAGACAGCTCAGAAAACAGATAAACTAAAAATCTTTGGAAACAAAAGTTTTGCTCACTGTTTAGTTTTCTTTTTTAAAGCTGGCAGTAGTATTTCAAAGTATATCTGTCTGCACATACTTCCACACCTATCATTTTGTGTTAATAACAAACTTGTATCCTTACTACCAAAATAGTGCACAGTTAACATTAGTGGATAGTTTTTATGATTTAATATAAGTAAATGGTATGGAACTGGGACACTGGTGTCGTGAAATGCAGTCTAGAGGCCATTTAACATTGACAAAGTGATGATCTATTTGTTTAATGCTACTGATTATGATCTAAAAATCTTGCTCATGCTGACTCCCAGTGGTTAAATATCTCACCTTGCGGCAGTGATGTGCAGGTGACCTCCGGGATTTCGTGACATCACTGTTGGGTTTGGATACAGGTGCAGCGAAGGAAACTTCTGACCCCACCCATCAGTCATGCTGTGGCTAGAGGTGAAACAGGCTTGGAACTTGAAACCAGAGATGGCAGTGACACACTGCTTTTCAGCCTGCTGTTAAGGCAATCTTTATGGAGCACCTTAAAGTAACTGATGACTGAAAACACTGGGGCACGTTACCATGGTGATGGTACTGATATGCACTCACTGTACAACCCGACCAAACTCTATCTACAGCTCTCATCCAATTTAGTCCTAAAACTACTTATTGACTAGATAATCTTAAAACCACAATAGTAGAGTATGTAATATATACACATTTTATCTGTGTGACAAAGTCCACTTACACATGTTCCAACACTAAGCTATAATCAAAATCGGGGAGATTACCTCCATGGTGGACCAATTAGCCCTGTCAGAAAGCTCAACTAAGAGACTCAGAGGACACAGGAGTGTGTTGGCAGCTGATATTGTGAATAAATAACAGAAAATGTCAACCTTATGGTTAGTTGACAAGCATCATCTGGAATCAGGGAATCAGTTCTTTTCTTTTAGACCACCCTCAAAGAATGTTGTTCGTTTTCTATAAATCACTAAATAGACTGAAGCTGTGAGCCAGTCATGGTTAAATATTGTGGAGTATGCTGGACCCATGCTAGTGGGTTTTTACATCTTGCCTACAACTCATCATTCCATTCAGACTAAAATGTTCCCTTCAAAACCTCCAAACTACAAATGTCTAGAATTATTGCCATAAAGAAAAGAAGAATGATCTATCCCTCCTGTCTTCCGTCCTCTTACTTCTCTCCTCATCCTCTTCATTGCTTGTGTTGATGTTGTCGTGGGAACCCTGCTGACATGGTGAACCCACGTTGGTTGGTGATCACTTGAGGTCGATGCCCTGGGACTGAGCCTTCTCCTTGGCCTGAAACAATGGACAGCATAATGATAAGTGTGATTAGAAATTATATGAATTATAAGCCATGATATTTGAGGGTGCACTCAGTGTTACCACTCTTTATGAAAAAAATATCATTTTTCTTGACAATACAGGACTTAGATTTATCAAGTGGCACAAATGCAACTCCAAATGTCGCTATTGTTGCTCCCTAACTGCTGGATGTGTAAATAGGCAACCGTCTATCTACAAAAATTGATATGTCAGTGTTGAGTTCACTTTCTGCTGCACTTGCTCACGTATGGTCATAATTTACCAGTAGGCCTAGTAAACCCCAATTTCATTCCTCCATTTATAATGATGCAGGGTTCATGATAAAGTGTCTGAGGTTCATTTCAGTCAGTTTGCTTTTGTGGCACTCCTGCCTGTTTTCACCACAGTCGATCATTCTGCTGCCATCTCTACAGATTTCTTCTAACTGTAACATTAATTCTGCCAAAGTAACAGTTCAAAATCAAGTAAAATTTGTAAATTCGGTTAACATCGCTGTGCATGTATTTATCAACCACTAAAACAAATGTAAAGATGATCATTAAAGCATTTTATGTATGTAGATATGATATACACCATATCTGGTGTGTCCAGGATATTTGGTCATTTTAATCCATTTCCAAGTGTTTCCATGATGAAAACTAGTCTCTAAATTTCCAGAATTCCAGGTTTTCCAGGATGAGTGGGAATCTTGGCACTATGTGCATAAAGGTTGTTTGGGAAAGGAGAAAATAAATAATTTTAGAGGGTATACTATTGACTATGACTATTAATCACCTTTCTCAGTCTGTAGCCATGCTAGCTGCTCTGTCAGACTATCCTCAGGCACAGCAGTGCTCTCAGCTAATAGCATGCTAACATGCTTGCTTTCACATTGCTAACATGGTGATGTTTAGCAAGTATAATGTTTACCATATTTACCATCTTTGTTTAGCTTGTTAGCATGCTAATCTTTGCAAATTTGCATTACACACAAAGTGTACCTGCAGCTAATAAGAATGACACTTGTTTTGCAGGAATAAACACATTCTTTCAAAATGAATTATATTATTTATACTATCATTGCAGGTCATAAACCAAGCTACCAAACCAATTTGAGCTGGTGATGGCACTAGGTCAATGGATCAGTTAATACTTATTACAATTCATCTTGTGGGGGCACGAAGGTTTCGACTATATTACATGGCAATCCAATCTATGTCAACCTGTTGGTGGCGATATAGGAAAAGTCAGGGACTCCCCAAAATCATTAGGTATTATCCTTAATAGACTATGATATATATATATATATTATATATTTTTCATCTAAATCCATCATGTAGTTCTTGATATATTTTAATCTAAACCAATGTGGTAAATTACATAAATACAAGTATGCCTTCAAATACACCTGTGTTCTAGAGCTCAGTGACTGGATGTTGCAGTCCTATATATATATATATATATATATATATCATCATTCGATTTAAGTTAAAACAATTATTTTTATTGGCAAATATGTTTTTCAACATATCCCATTTATATTTTGTAGCTGAAACATGTGCTCTCTGGTGGAAACAATATGTAATTTAGACACTACTGGAAGCATGACTAGGTTCCTATAATAATTAGTTGTGGTTTGACTAAAGATCACAAACTTTGAAAAAAGTGACCAGGAGGAACCAACAAAAGAAAAAACAGATCTGGTCCAAAGGAGAGCCAAGCACAGTCAGACCCATTCTGATTAGACTAAAGCACACAAAATGTGGTTGAAACAGAACCAAATACAACCGGACCCTAGCAAACCCAGTTACAACGAATATAATCTTGACATGGACCAATTCAAGGGTCGGTCTTGGATACTGAACTGGAGTGGACATATAAAAATAAGTTTACTTATGTGAGTTGCATGCGTTTGGTTTTCAACTCACCCTGAGCGAAGGCCGAGGAGGCCTAACAGGTCTGACTGGTCGTACTGGCTCTGCTACTGGGTTTGCCTGCCTTCTGTCAAGAGGCTCTAGGTCGTCCGCTACATCAGGACAACCGATGTATCCGCCAGCCCCGAACACTGAACCCAGATCGCCTTCTAACAAGTTGTGACTGGTGGTAGCATTGGATGTAGCAAAGTCCTGGTTAGCAGACATGTTCCTGACAGCCATGTTGAGGGTGTCAGCAGTACTGGTGGTAGTGCAGATACTGGTGTTACTGAGTTCAAGTCCTAGCAGGTCCTCTGATGCCACATCACTGTCTAAGCTGTTATTGGTGGGACTGACATTGAGCTCTGGTTCCACACTGCATTGGTTATTATTTGCTTCGGGGAAAACTTCCTTACTCAACAAGTCCAGCACCTCCTGGTTGTCATGGCTACCTAGCAATTCCTGATCATCATTGCTACTGAGATCCAGGAGTTCCTGGTTGTCGTGGCCACCTGAAACTAGAGCTTCCTGATTTTCTTTGCTGTCAAAATCCAGTAGTTCTTGGTTGCCACGGTCCACGTCCAGCACTTCCTGATTTTCAGGATGGGATAAATCCAGCAGTTCCTGATTGCCATGGCTACAAGGTTCCAGCACTTCTTGGTTGTCATAGTTACAAGGTTCAAGTAGTCCCTCAAAGGTGATATTGCTATAGGTTTCCACCACCTCCTGGTTGTCATGACTGCAGAGATCCAGGAGTTCCTGGTTTTCATTGCTAACTAACTCCCTGTTGTCAAGGCTAGAAGGTTCCAGCACTTCTTGGTTTCCATTGTTACACAAATCCAGCAGTTCCTGGTTATTGTGGCTACAATGTTCAAGCACTTCTTGGTTTTCATGGGTATGAGGTTCCAGTACTTCCTGGTTGCTATAGTTAGAGGGTTCTACTTGCTCATTGTTGTCATATGTGCAAAGGTCCATTGCCTCCTGGTTATCATGGCCACAGACATCCAGTACCTCCTGGTTCCCTTCCTCAGGGCTGAGCTTAAAGCCGTAAGGGTCAGAGTCCCGTGCAATCTGTGAGGAAGTGATGTCAAACCTATACGAATCAAAGTCCAGTTGATCTGGTTGAGATGCGAATGGCTCAGGGTCAAAGGTCAGGTTTTCAGCAGGTTCTGGACTCAGCTCAGCTTCATCCGGGTCTAAGAGGGTGTGACTAGAATGCTCTGGACTGAGTTTAAACCCGTATGGGTCAAAGGAAGACTGACTGGTTGGTTCATAGCTCAATTCAAAGCTCAGCTCTCTGTTCTGATCTGAGTCAGGCTGGATGAAGAAGTCCTGGGAGTCTAGCAAGTTTTGGGGAGTTGCAGGGTTTCCGGGTTCTTCTTTGATGTTGCTTACCCATTCTGCCCCCTGACAGGAGGTAACATCATGTGAGAGAGTTTGTTCTATGTCACCTGTCAAATCTGGTTCCATCAGGACTTGTTTCCCGAGCTCAGGGACAGCCTGAGCTGAAACAGAACTCAGACCTAGGAGAAGAAAACAATGAGGGGTCAAGGCAAGAAGTATAAGCCATCAGGGGTGAGAATTTTCAGGACCCTAAAAAGCAACAAAATAAAATTGAAATCATTAAAATGACACTAAGTTTGCATACTTTATACTTTGAAACACTATCGTTAAATGTTTATAAGTCTATAAAGAGCCTGCAGGTTTAAAGATATTTAGTAAAACATATCATATAAATTAAAATTAAATAACAAAATATGTATATGTGTACTATGTAAATCACTGTAATATTGTTTTATTTTATTGTAATGTAATCCTTCTTTGATTGATGCTTGATACTAACAGCTCAACAGTGACCATATTAAGTGGCATGAAACATGAGTTAAAGCAGCACTGTAACTGTATTAAAAGTTGAATGTAAAATGTGGAAATGGATTTATGTATAAAGTACCTTGTTCCAGTCCTTGCGTTGCCTCTACAATAGCATCTCCAGCTAGAGATCCCAGACTGTGTTCTTCTATGTCAGAGGGAGGGGAGACAGTGCCAAGGTCCAGCTCATACCCATTAGGGTCTGATTCTACAGAATACTGACCCTGGGACCTCCAGCCCTGGATGGGATCCAGCCCCAGCTCCTCCGATGAGCTCTGAATGGGTTTAAATCCACGAGAATCATCAACTACAGCGATGGCGTCCAGGTCCTCTCGGCTGTAGCTGATCTCTATGTCGCTGTCTTCGTCGGGGAATTCAGACTCAAAGCACTGAGTTCCTGTTGAGGCTTTGTTTTCAGCACAGGAGAGACTGGTGTCTGCCTCATCCCCAACATTTCCCGCCCCTCCATCAGTGCCGATGGTCGCCTCTGGGAACAAAATATCTGCTGCAAACGGATCACTGCCTTTGAAAGGGTCTGAAGCGAATCCATCTGGCAAACAGATTATTTAACAAAAGCTTATTGGAATGCCAGTTATAATATTACATCCATCCGAATTTCATTTAATAATTTCTATCATGGAAAACAAAGAAAAAGCTAGTGCTTTTCCTTTAATGCCAATTAGATGCTCAAATCTCTGTATCAAAAGCAGCACTAAGATCTAATAATACAAGTACAGAGACCAGTCCATTGTCAGAAGCAATCAAAAGGTCGTTACTAACTTTAACCAG